TCTAACCTGGTTTTGCACATCTCATTATCCCTTCTGTTTCTAAGCTGGTTTGGGGTACATCTAATCTCTGGGATCAGGTCTTACCTGGACAGGGAACAACTGTCTTTGAGGTGAGGAGCAATACACTGTACAAGGACCTTGAAAACAGAGTTGCCTGTCAGGAGCAGCTGCCTTGCAGAACATATTTTTCAGCTTTGAGGGTGGCCTGTTTAGTCAAGCTGCAGAGGCTGCCCTGGTATTAATTCACCTCAAAGAGCAGGTTGAAGTCATTAAAATATTTTGCAGGTGGTTCCTTGAATTCATGGTGCAGCTGGATCCAGCCTAAAGGGGAAAAAAGAGAAAAGGAGAAGAAGAGGCAAGTTCTGATGAAACACAAATTAACATAACTCATAGAAGGAAAAGAAAATCTGTTTTCAATCTCCACAACAAAGCCAAGCAACACATCAAGCTAGAAAGGAGAAATGTCAGCCAGGCAGCACTGGAGATTTTATTGCTTTAGCACAAGTGCTTCTCCGCCATCCCAGGAGTGCCCAGATGCTACCACAGCAGATGGACCCCCTGAGCACAGCTCTGGGCATGCAGGGACACAGGGGGCTTCATGACAGGGCCCCAGCTCTCATATGGGATCTGGCTCAAGCTTTGTTTAAATTCCCTGGCACAAATCACAGTTGTTTAGATCTTGTGTGTTGGCCTCCATCTCTCTTCTGCATGGGAACTCTCCACGTACAACATTATTTCTTGCTCTTAACAGCTGGATCTACTTTTTTCAGGGGGTGCTGTCCAGGGCTGAGCCCTGGTCAGCAGGACACTCACCAAGGAGACCCAAAATCTGGCACCTTCATGAGCTGCTGGTGGGCAGATCACTCACAACCTGCTTTGGCATACCCTGAAGCAGTGCTTCCCAATGTACATGGGCATCAAGGTCCTTGGTCCTACTTTGGGGAGAACACAGCATTTTAGCATAAATGCTGTCATACTGGAGAGCTATATTGAGTCTGACTGGGGTGGAAGTAATGTTCTCCACAGCAGCCCAACACAATATGGTGTTGTGCTTTGGACTTGTGGCTGAAGCAGTGTTTATTACACAGTTTTACCAGTGTTTTGGCTATTGGTGAGCAGTGCTTGCACAGCTGTGAGTACGCTAGGGGTGGGCAAAAGGCTGGGAGGGGTCACAGCTGACCCAAGCAGATCACATGTATACTCCACACCATATGACGTTGAGCCCAACAGTAGAAGTTCAGGGGAAAAAGGAGGAAGGGGAGATGCTTGTGGTTAGTGCATTTGTCAGCCCAAACAACCATCACGCATGCTGAGGCCCTGCTTCCCAGGAAGTGGTTGCCTATCTGCCTGCCAATGGGAAGTAAAGAATTAATTCCTCTTTCTGCTTTGCTTGCAAGTGCAGCTTTTGCTTTCCCTATTAAACTGTCTTTATATTGACCTGTGGGTCTAGTCACCTTCCGTCTATTTTCTCCCCATCCTTTGGGAGAGGGAACTGAATGAACAAACATCCACCCAAACTGGGTGGGTGTTGGGCTGATGGCCAGGGTCAATCCACCACAAGAACTGATTGGTGTGTTAAAATTCACCAACCTTGTTCATTCCAAAAAAGAGAAAAGACTGAAAAATCAGCTAAAATAAATAAAAACCAAGATAGTCTGCAAACAAACCTACCACTGCAGAGGCAATTGTACAGCTTTGGTCACTGGTGGCTTTGAGACGTGCATCAATGGGCTGCATCCCAGTTCAAACCACAGCTACTTGTTTCTGTGGGAGAGCAGTGTGGTCTGTGGGTAGGATTACTTTTTGGTTTTTTGAAGCCTATCTGTGGAAGCATGAGTGCAGGTGCTGGAATAAGGGGTAGACTGTCATCTTTTGTGGCTGTCACTCTCACTTCAGTCTAGAGGGGACAGCAGAAATGGTGGAGGTTTCTGTCCTGGCTTACCTGACATGGGGCCTGTTTGTGCTGTCACATTTTCTTTTCCTCATCTTTGGTGATGCATGAAAGCCCCCTGAATTCTACCCATTTATTTCTAAGACAGTCTGAAATCAACTAGATGAGTTTGGAAAAATTACTGTCTTATGAATAAATGGAGAAACAACTCTGAGCTACGATATCTTCTCATTTAGGGAAAAAAAAAATCTTTAAAAAACCTCAGTCTCAGTTCTTTCATGATAAATGCTTATCCTGAGGAGGCTAACATCTGTCCAAGTTCCCTGGCAGTATCACGGCTGGGAACTGCTGTGTTTAACTAATGCTAGGTTGGCGTTTGGAGTTGTCTCTGCTCTGCCATGAACTTTTAGTGGCAGCAAATGCCTGCAGCTGACAACAGTGGTAAAAGGACATGAGAAAGGCAGTGGGAATGACCAGGCACAAGACGCTTCCTTTTACTTTCACCAGAAGTTAACTCCAGGCCTGTGCCATTGAGGCAGCTGCGATCTGTTTATAAAACTTGCTTCAGATGCAGTGCATCCTTGCAATAAAAACACCTTCTTCCCAGCACGGGCCACTTATGTCCAAGTGTAGGCAGGGAAGGGATGATCTGGAGAACTTCAGACTCTTCCCCAAGATGTAATCAGAGTCTTTCAGGGGAGGCAGAATTAGCAGCAGGAGGGAGAGGGACCAGAACTACCTAGCAGAGAGCCTGGAGGCTGAGGCTAATGGCCCAGCAGACATGATCCATAATAGGAACTGTTATTCTATTAATAATCCCATTTCAGCAAACCCTCAACCTAGGAAGACTGCACTGAATCAGCAGTTTCTTTCCTTTTTTTCTTTCCTGATTTAGTAACCCCAATTGCACAATCAGAGTCAATCTATTGCTGCAGTCAGTGACGGTGCAGCAAGAAGTGAAATACAGCAGAAAGCAGGGTGGGAGCAGTGAGCACACCCAATGGCTGAGTGAGCGTGTTGGTACATGATTTCTGATGTTTGTGGCATGGCTGAGACCCTCAGCACTATGTGCACAGGGGAATCTGCTGTGTTTATGGAGGCTGATGTTCAGATGGAAACACACCATGACTCTCCCAGGCAGCCAGATGCTCACCTGACTGATGGGAATGTGGCAGCACGCAGAGCTACATGGGGTTACATCAAATGGAAATAAGGGGAAAATTAAGTTTGACCAGGTGGGTAGGCAACCACAGCTGGTGGGCAAAGTTGGGTTCAATCATGACTTTGCTATGGATCTTCCTGAAACAGATAAGTGGAGAATTGGATTTTGAACCCTGAAGCAGTGCAGATCAGGACTGTCAAAATTGAGGGTGTCTACCCTTGCTTTTGCACCCATGCTACCTGGGCCATTGAGAATGGCATGGCCACAGCATGACCATGAGACATGGGAAAGCATACCCCTGAACTTCTTTCTCAGGGAGGAGGACACAAAGATCTCATTGCACCTTTTGCCTTTTAGAAGTGTTTCTGAAAACTTCTTTTTAATACTTTTGAAGTAGAATGGATTTGCCTAGAAGTGTCGTTAAAAGCCTTCCTGCTGTAAATCTGCTTTCTCTGTGCACCTGAATTGCATCCACTTGGCAACACAAGTACAGTCATACCCAGCTCATTACCTGGACCAGCAAGAGTAGATGGCTTCAGGCTCACGCAGAATAGTGAGCTGAACTAGGTAAACCATCAGAAATGGGCTGGATATGAGACCTTACCCCAGTGGGGAGGATGCACAGGTAGTTACTATGGCTTAGCTGAACGGTGGTAACCTCTCAGGCCACCCTAATTCAAGGGGGTATCTGAGCTCCTCACAATAAAGTAAATTACCCAGATTCCTATGCAGTGTGTGGCAGAATGTATGATAATGGAGTATTCCTTTTCCTCCCTGCTGGTGCCAAACCAGGTCACAGCTCCACAAGCACATTTGAAAGGAGAACACAAAAGTGGATTTAAAAATCCCCACATATTTCTGATGTAAGCCTTTAAGAGAGAGGTGCAGAACAGAAGGCTTCATTCTGTACTGTGCTGCCAGGGTGTGGATTTCCAGCTCACTTCTGTCTGAAGCTTACGCCACACTTTCGTCCATGGTTATGAAAAGCAGTGAGAACCCAGCAGCCACACAGATGAGCACGGACCCACAACCCGGCAGAAGGCTGTGTGACGGGGACTGTCCTGAGCCTCCGGGAGGGCAGCACATGGCAGTGGCATCGTGGGTACAAAGGGCTCTGCCTGGTGCCTACCGGAGGCTTTCACCTGCGAGCTTGGGTGAGTCATTTCTCTTTGCAAAATCAAAATCAGCCCTGGCACAACTGGAGACTCCAAAATGTCAAATGCCACAGCTAGGTCTGCAGGGGTAAGTTTTACAGGACGTGAGCAAAGAAGTGATGAGGTGGTAGGAATTGTGTCTGGGGGTGTGGAAAATCAGTCAGGGAGGAAGTAGAGTCCTAGAGAAAGCTTTGGCAAGCAGGCTGCAAGTGTCTCTGCTCCATTGTATCCCAAACCCATTTGGGCTTCAGCGTCCCCATCCCACCATCATTTTCTCATCTTCACAATTCCTCCTGATTCTTTCCCTCCCTGCCCTACAGTCATGTACCATCACTAAAGTGTCATCTTGGTGCAATTTACTGTGCTTTTCACTTGCATGCAGTGCTGTACCTCCCTTCCCAGGGGATGGATCTCCAAGCTAATATTGAACCTGAGATCTTCTTGGCGACGTAAGAAGGTTTACTTACGTTAGAAGCAAAATGCCCAACCCCACCAAATTGCACAGATGTTGAATAACTCAGGGCTGAATGTCTTGCAGGATCCTACCCAAGGCTCCATGGACATGGTGTCCCCAAGTGAGCACAGAAAATCAGCTGAATATGTTAGCTGTGGGATTTTTTGAGGAACTGTTCAAATTACCACATCAGATTTCTCACAAGTCTATAAAAACTGAGCTCATGATAGGAAAAGCATATCAGAAAACATATCAAATCAGGAAGCAGATAGGAAGTCCCTTCAGTTCTTTATTGTCCATAATCTGACAAGGTTTTAGGTTAGCCACAAGAAATTCGGCATGAAAATTAAAGACAGATATGGGGAAGATGGAAATTTGAGTGATATGAACACTTTCAGTATTTCAGACAAGATTGGGTTTGCTTCAGCTGCTACTACAACCTTTCAGATAAGTGGTAAGGATTCTTTTTGTTAAATGGATTGATATGGATTTTATCTGGTCTATTAAGAAACAGTACATAAAAATGAAATATTATATTTGTACTGTATATTAAATAATTTTTATAATGATTTTGCTAGTAAATTAAGTGCCATTTAAAAAGAGAAGTATGTGAAAATGTCATTTCTAGCCAAAACCTGATGCTGAGAATCACAAAAAATTAGTTCTTTTCTTGTTTTAGAAAATGCCTGATTTCGCTGAATAAACCTTTCATGTCTTAATAGTTAAGATACTGAAAACACCAGATCAAATAGAAAACTGTAAGTTTATGAATTCTTAGCTGAATATGAATGTTTCATTGCTGACTAAACCATTCTATTGTAAAACTAATTAAATCATTGTACTCATTCAAAACCAAGACTTTAAACTCCTGATTACATTACTTCAAAAAACTCAATTAAAGGCAACTTAGTGAATGTGTGAAGTAGGTATAAATGTTTTTGATTTTTTTTCTCCCTAAAATCCAAAATTCAACAAAAAGTGTTTTATTTCTTTTACACTTGATGGTGACAATTTGTTTAAAATGTTACAGCTTGTTTTCATTTGTTCTGCAGTTCAATTTATTATTGATTTTTCATTTGTTTCAATGCATACATGATTTGCTGCTGCAATTGCATGAATGCATCGCTCTTGATGGAGAGGGCATGTGGTCTTAGCAATCAACCCTCTTTGAATGGCAGTCTGGGATATACAAATGTAATAGAAACAGAGAGTTTATGGGTGCAGAAATGGGAGAGCTACCTCATACTATGATAGGCTGGGTTGAGTCTTGCTGGAAGTGAGCTGGTTAAATTGGCTAATGAAAAGATGACCAAGTGAATTGCAGTGCAAAGCCTGGGTGAGAGGAAGGCAGCCTGTAGGACATGGCAGCCTTGCAGAGGGACCTTGCTGCTCCCTGTCGCTGGAAAGCACTGCTGATTTATCCTGGCCAAGCCTTAAATAGCTGGAAGAACACAGAGTTAGTAGCAGGAGAGATGTGAGAGGATGTCTACCCTACTTCTGTCGGGTTTTAGAGCCTCGGAGCCAAAGAAAGCCATCTACATGCTGTGCCCGGGCAGTCCTCGTCATTTACCTGCTGCTGCTGACGGCTGGCCAGGGGCTGCTGGCATACAAAGGTAAGACTGCAACCTTACTGCAAGCTTGACATCAAAAGACAGCTTTGCTGGGTGCTCTCAGGGGGTATGGGCAAGTGGGGATGAGCACACAGATGGAAAACCTCTGAGGGAGCACGGATGCTCCTCTGCACACTGCAAGTCAAAGCAGCTGCTGAAGGAAACCATTCCCCCACCCCATATATGAGCATTTGCAAAAGCACTCCTGGCTGCACTCTTATCTGCAGCAAGCACCAGCACATGAAAACCACCTCCTCAGGTCAAACGGTGGTGGTATTTAACCCCAGATATCCTTCAAGGGTGCCAAGGAGCTGCTCTGCCTAACAGACATTTCCCAACTAGATAGGGGAGGAAATATTCACCACATGGGCCTTTTGTTTCCTCAGTTTTTAAGATGCAGAGAGAGATACTGAAATTTCAAGAACAAAATACCTCCTATACAGAAGAGATTCTGGAAAGCTCCTTTGCCAGCAAACTGCTTTTGGAGAGAATCTCTAGAGAGAAGCTCATGGGACTTGAAGCAGAAAACTGGAGGAGAAGCATGGAAGAGGAAATCACTATAATTAAAAGCAGCAATGCAAACCTGATGATGATGTTGAATAACATCACCCTGGTTGCAGGTATGGCTCCATTTCTCCATGCTGTCTGTACAGTGGGAAAAAGCTGGTTCCTCTGCACTACTGGAAAAGCCTGGCTAAAAACCTAGTTCAGATGAACCACTAACTGGGGCAAGATTTGGTCTTCCTGTCAGTTAGTGATGTCCTGGTGTCCGGGGCTGGACACTAGCTTCAAGTGCCTTGGGTGGGGGTCTGGACACATGTGGGGAAGCTGGAGCACAACCTTGTGCAGCTCCCCTGGATCCTGCTGCAGCTGCACATGCAGTGCTGGGCTGCTCTCCCCTCCTGAAGCTTGTAGACCTGGGCTCTGGGTGCCCTCTAAAAGGGTGGTGTTTTCAGCCCAGACATCAAGCCTATCAACCCCATACTAGTATGTTCCTCACTGAGTGATGACTACTGAAAGAGATCCATTTAATATTCATTTCAGGGCCTCCTGGACGCCAAGGATATCCTGGTCCACCAGGTATGTTAGTAAATGAGCCACAAGGAACTTTTCCTCCTTCTCTTTTTTTCCCCTAAGAGACCTGAAGTGAGTGTTTAGGCTTTCAGTCTCTAGACACATATCCTACCCAATGCACAGACACCCAGTCCCCTGGCCATAAGGAGACCTGTTGCAACTTTGAGTGATCCCCCAGGAGCTCAGCTTGCCCAAGCGCTGCCACAGAGGTTGGTGACCACCACAGAGGAACAATTCTGGCTCTGCCTCCTCACTGCTACCCCACCAGAAAAGTTCAGGGGTTATCTGCAATAATCATTTCAAATATACGTGTGAGACAAGATAGGACCAGTGAGGGGGTTATGTGCATCCCACAACCAGAGGATAGCTGGGCTTTTTGCTCCAGACATAGCAAGTCCTGCTGTCCAGCTCGCTCCAGAACAGCTCAAGGACACCTCCCTAATCCCTGCTCTGCAGGGCCACAGCTAAATGGTGTGTGTAACGGTGACAGATTTGGAACCTTGCCTACTCTGTCCCAGAGGAAATGACCACACAGGTTCAGGAATGAGCTGGATGAGAGTGCTCCCCTGCACAGCCACACACACGCTGCTGCCCTGGGAACCTGGGGGTTTTGGGTAGAACTACACTTGCTGCAGGAGATAAATACCTTCAGACTGTGAGGATGCCACAAATTCTAATCTAATATTGGCTCCACTTTGAGCAGAAGTTGGACTAGGCAATAGTTTCTACGATCTGATGATAATGATCTAATGATCCGATGATGGTGATCTAAGATGCAACCCTCGTTAGCTCAGGTCTGTATCTCATCCATTCCTTGTTCTTGGCCACACTGATGATCTTTTCCTAAATTAAAACAAAACCCACTAATACAATTTTTAAAAATCATGTTTTCATATCTTTCTGGCTGTACTTGCAACATTGAACCAGCACCTTCTGCCAAGCACCATTACTATACATCAGCGCCCAATAGTTCAGTGCATTTTCAGGAAAGATCTCCCCAAAGGTCCCCACGAGCTGGGCTTGGCTGGAGGACATCTGGCCCCTGCCCAGCCATGCACTCAACCGAGCTCTACAGACTTTATTCAAGAGGTTGTGCTGGTCCCTGCCAGCTGAAGATTTGCCTCAGTGGTGACTGAAGCAGTGTGCACAAATGATGATTAAAAAATTCATGTCTTCTTAGCCATTACTGTGAATAGATGATGTGTGTCGGCTGATACATGTGTTTAACTTCTCAGGGTTACAGGGACCACCAGGAATAAAGGGAGAACGAGGATTCCAAGGTAAGGCTTTTCTGACACCTGAATTACTTCTGTGGATGAACATAAAGTGGCTTTATGGATGATTTTATGTGCAATCTTGTCCTCAGTCAAGGTTTAAGTCAATAGGAATGTCATTGGAGTTGAAATAAGCCTATGCAAAACTAACATGGAAAAAACCAAAACTTAGCTCAAAAAAATCTTATTTTGAAAGTCAGTGTGTACCGGTCATGGTGGGCCAGTTCCCCACTGCCACCAGTGTCACTCACAAGCACACGGAGAGCAGAGTTTGGGTCATGCCCGCAGCTGAGCCACGTGGCCTGCTTCTGGCATTCAGTAAGTACAACACCTGAGGAAGCATTAAAAAAGTGGTGGTGTCCTCACAGGCTTACATGGACTGAAGGGTGAGAAGGGGAGCCAAGGAGATCCTGGCACTCCTGGCCCGCGTGGTGCACCAGGAGTGGGAGGAGAAAAAGGAGAGATGGGTCTTCCAGGTAAGACTTCTTCACTACCGCAAAATTTTTAAGATTCTCCTGTGTATTCCTGTTTAAACTCATTCTGCTTAAAACACCAGAAGTCTTAAGAGGTCAGTATTTCGTACAAATCCAGTCAGCCCTGAGCATGGCCTGCCAGTCAATGAGGGAACTGGATGAACAGGACACAGGAACCTGATCTGAAGGGATTTCATTTAGCGACAAAACTTCAGCAAAGCTCCCAGACGAGGACTGGGGGAAGGGGGCATGAAAATTGTTGAGTCTGTACCATGGAAGTCTCTTTGTAGAGTGACATTTATCTAATGAAAGCCACAAGTATTCAATTATCAGCCTATTCCACATTAAAGCAGAGATGTTTGCAGTAGGATTTTCATAGTATAAAAGAATACAAAGTAATTTATACGTATAAGCATGTGGATGTTAGTCCTTGCTTTAGTAAAACCTATTTCTGAGAACTTTATATCTTATATAAGCCTGACTTTTATACACCTATAAGTAGAAGAGTTATACATAGTGTTTCTCCTGTATAGCATGCATTAATTGGCATCTCCTGGATACTGTTATTCAGTGGTCTCACATGGGCTGCACCTGAAAGCAGGATAGCAAAAGAAAGTAGATGTGTGTGGTGCAGACCATGGAGGACAGTTGGACAGGCTGATTAGACCTTCCTCAGATCTTCCATCAGCTCACACGTGCTCCAGTGCACTTCTTATAACAAGTTGCTCCAGAAGAGAGAAGTGAAAGTAGGAATACCGAAAGGTGAGGATTATGGGATCACTCTGGAGCAGAAAGATGAAGATGTCAGTCTTTAAATGAGGCACTTTCAAGTAATTTGGTTCTTTGGGACCAGCTGTTCAGAGAAGAGAAGGCTAAGGGGAGATGTGGCAATTCCCTGGAAGCGTAGGAGTGGAATACACAGTCCTCTGTCTCCATTGTGGCTAAGAGAAAGGAAGGGTTCAGACTGCCATAACGGGTATTTAGAGAATAAAACATTCCAGTGATAGGGATAGTTTGGGCAATAGTTCGGGGAAGTGTCATGGCACCACTGCAAGTCTTTAACAGCAGGTCAGACAAACATCTGGCCAGGCAGTCTGACAGAGCTGGAGGTGGCTTAGGCAGACTATTGAGGTGCCATCCAGCTCTGTCCTCGTACAGCTTTATGGGAATGCCATTCAATGGTCAAGGCATGTGTGAGGCCAAACTCTGCTACTGCTGAAGCTACACAGAGGTGCTCCACTGGCTGCAGAGATGAATAAGTTTTTGTTTTGTTTTGGTTTGGTTTGGTTCGTTTTTTTTTTATTTATACATGTGTGCTGTTTGATAGGTCCCCAAGGTCAGAAAGGTGAAACGGGTCAGAAAGGGGACCCTGGACCCCGTGGACCAATGGGTCCTCAGGGACAGCAGGGAGTGCCAGGACTGCCAGGTTTCAATGGTAAGTGCAGAGGACACAGCACATATGCCATGGTTCAGGGTTGCCCTACCTGAAGCATATGGCTAAGCCTCATTAGCACTCATGCTAGGATGTTGTTACAGGCAGCACGGGGGAGCCTGGACGTCCTGGGCAGAAAGGAGAGGCAGGTAAGCAGTACAGAACATGCAGTTTCCTCTAGAAATATGATACTGATCTTTTTTTAAATCATGCTTCATGACAAAGCTAGATCCCAACATGGGTAAGAGAAGATGATGATTAGATTAAAAATACATTCCAGTGTTGTGTAAACTCATCCCACAGCCTTGGCTGTCTCGTTTGGACCCTGCTTACTGTGCAGGAGAATGAGCGAGAAAGAAGGGTCCAGTGCCACGGAGGGCCATGTCCTCCTTCCTGACATGTGTGCACGCGCAAGGGCAGAAAGTGGCTGCTCTTTTAGGACGGCACTTGTGCTTCTCAAGGCTGACAGTCTGCAAGGACAGCCCTTCACTCCAGACCAACACTCACTGTACCACTGAGATTAGTGCTGCCACGGAAGGACTGCAGTTCTGAGAGACTCCGTGACTGTTTTGCCTTCATAGGGTCAACTCAATCTGCATAGTGCAGGGCTTGGTGACTGAACTGTCTTTCTTTTTTTTCACTTTCATATGTTGTGTTGCATTTCACATGTGCTGCTTTTGATAAACCTCAAGGTGTAACCGGACCACATGGACCTCAGGGAATTCCTGGCATCGAAGGCAGACCTGGTCAGAAAGGGGAGAAGGGGGACCTGGGGCCCAGTGGTAGTCCAGGTACAACACTACTGAAACCTGTAACTCACTGAGCAACTGCTCTGGTCTCACTTTGTGTGATGGCTTCACCCTTACTGATTTGCTTTTAATTTCAGGAACACCAGGCATTGCAGGACTCAAAGGTGAAAAGGGAGACAAAGGAGAATCAGGTAAAGGAGAATAAAAGACGTTCAGGGTCAACAACGTGCATCATGCAGACACTGGAAAGAGGTCCGCAACAGCAAGGAGATTTGTTGAGTCCTGTTCTTGGAGCCCCAACACATCCCAGGATGCCATGTTGGGCCTGGGCCTCTGCCAGGCTGCTGGGTTGTTAGCTGTTCACTGGAGGGGTTGTTTCTACTGTCTGTAACATGCAGGAGGAGGTGATGTTGACTACATTTTTGTGTAAGCAGAAAATGCACAAAGCAGCAGTTTAAGGTGAACCAGACAACAACCTCCCTACCCTGGAGCTAAAGACAAATTTTACTGGCTGTAAAGCTGATGGGGGTGGGTTATTGAGCATAGGAAGACAGCAAGCATTTGTCCTGGCCTCCTCTGCTGCATTGCAGGAAAAGGTATCTTCAGAGGCCAACTTAGAGCACATAACATAGGCATAACATGCCTTTTATGTGACCTTCCATCTGACAAAGGATGCCTCTCTGTCCCAGGCACCCAACAGATAGGGTGACATTTTGCAGTACAAGTCTGTTCCCGTGTATTTCTCTTGAATCAACCATTTTTTCCTGAATTTTTGCAGTGCACACAACCTCTCATCTCCATCAGGACATGACAAAGGTCCAAGTGCTGCACCCTTCTACTTTCATTGATAACTGGACGATAGGGGTGGGAGTCACCTGGCCCAGCATTATGTGCTTGCATATGTCTGATGCACTTAAATGTACACATCTATATATACAGTCATTGAAGATCACCTGGAGGAATGGTCTTTATCCCATCAGTGGAGTTTAGGATCTGAAATAAATGACCAGAAGTTGATCAACTTCAGGAGAAGATGATTCTCCATTGCCTGTATTTTCTTGATTGATGAGGTCCACACTGAGTATAATGGGAAATCAGACACCCACTTCAGAAATAGATGCCTATGGTGTAGATAGCTGAACTAGATGAGTTGAAATCCATTATAAATGCTAGTTTGCATACACTTTTATAAATGTATGAACATCTGTCTTATAATATTATTGTTTGTTTTGATGATCTTAGGTCTTCCAGGGCAAAAGGGATACCAGGGCCCACCAGGTAAACCCTTGTTCGACAACATGACTTAGTCTGGTGATGCAAAGTACTTTAAATGCCACATTCCACTTCTCTGCATCAATGTGAAATGCTCATCTCGTTCTTTCCTTGGGAAGGGACAAAGGCAATGACTTTCTTGCTTTCCACCCAGGAAGCCCAGGCCTAACTGGTCAAAAAGGAATCAAGGGTGATTCTGGCAGTCAGGGTCCAAAAGGAGAACCAGGAGTAAAAGGAGCCAAGGGAGACCGTGGATTGCCTGGTAAGTCTGTTTGCCATGGGGTCTGTGGAGCTGATGGTGCATTAGGGTTTGGGGCTGTCCATCACAGACTGGCACAGGCATGTTAACAAAGCTCATTTTGAGGAACTCAACAGACAGATCAGTCTTCCCAGAAGATGAGTTTGTGGAGTGCCACATTTAAACCTTGGGAGATGTGTTAAAGACATGCAAGTAATCAGATACATTAGATTTCCTCAAACTCTTGATCTCACAGAAAACTGGAACAAACCATCTTCCTCTTTGCTTGGTACAAAGACACTCTGCAGCATACCACACTGTTGGGATAAATCCCACATAAACATGGCAGTCAGGAGCACTGAATTGGAAACACCAGTGCTATTTAACTATGCCTTGCTAATTGTAGGACACAAAAATAGTTCAAAAGGGCCAACACTGCAGCTATTCCCCATCCTTATCCCTCTCCCTTCTGATCACAGAATGATTCCAAAACCATAAGACCTGTAGCAATAAAAATCCTCAAGCAGTAGTTACAATAGACCATGGGAAGCAACCAGTGTTCCAGATGGTTTTTCTTTTAATTGCTCACATAGAGCAGTATAACAGTCCTCAAAAATAAAATAAACTAGAGTCTATGTGGGGGTCCTTCATGCACTCCTCTTGTGGAGCTTTGCCTCTGGAGGAGGGTAAAAGTGCGATTGGGGTGACCCGAGGCTAGGGACTGCCCTCTACATGGGTGTTCTCTCCTGGTCCCCAGAAGGAGACAGCAATGTGTGCTTTGTGGAGATAGCTTCTGGGGGAGGAGCTCATTGGGTTTTTTTTCAAACACTCCTGCTTTCAAGACCAGGATGATACACAGAAATGTGGAGGACTCTTGGGAGTGACTTTCTGTTGCCCAGTGCCAGTACCTGGAAAGCAAACTCCATGATGTAGATCTTCCTGCAAGTACTCTGGGAGATACCATGCCTGCTTCTGGAAAGCCCAAAGGCTATCAGAGGTGTAATCTTGCCGGTAGTAGTGGGAATAAGATACTTTTCTCATGAATGAGTAGACGGGATTTTGCAAGTGGTCCTTTTCTTGGGTCTCATGTTAATAAGACTTTGCTGTATGGTATACTACTTTTCTTGCCGTGTTTCTTTCACATTCCCTTAGTCACTTCAGGGGGTTCATTCTTCAAGAGGACAGAGCCCTTATATCTTTGACTCACCTGATTATTCAGAGAAAGTTAATAACTGAATTTTCCCCCTAACATCTGTCAAATATTTGCTTTTTTTAATTTGGAACAGGTTCACCAGGAACGAAAGGGAGCAAAGGTGAAAAAGGAGAAGGTACTTGACTTCTATTTCTTCTCTACTTGCCCTCTGGCATTGATGTTATCTGAAATAAGGACCAACTTGCCCCCTGCGCACACTGGTTAACCTGCAGCACAGCTACCAGAACGAAGGGGTCCAAGCTCTGAGCTGTAGCCTGGTGTCTCTAGGCCCAGGAGAGGGCTTTGAGTTGTTCAGATTTGAGTTACCAGTAGCTTCTGGTCCCATCCTGGCTACAGCCGTGGAGATGGGAACATTCGTCCAGTTTGGGCAGTCACTCCTTCTGTCTTTCAGTATGCTTTTTTCTTCATGCGTATATGACCAGTAGAGTTATTTTCTTCTCCTCTGAAACATCAGGCAGCTGGAGTACTTTTGTACGAATCGCGGGAGGGGGCAGGAGAGGCCGTGTGGAAATCTTTCACGAAGGGTCGTGGGGAACAATATGTGACGATGGCTGGAGCACTCAAGATGCCACTGTGGTCTGCCGAATGCTGGGATACACCCGCGCAATCTCTACCTTCACAGCCACAGCAGGTGAGTCCACAACAGCCTTTCACCTCCCCAGGCCTGGCACAGGAGTTTATGCACACACAGAAAGCACCATGGTAAGATCCTCTACATGAGCAGCAGGAAAGCAAAGAAGATCTCCTGAAAGGGGAAGCTCACTTCCCTTGGGAGAGGGGAGATGCATGTCCAGTGCTGCTTGAACTGTGCCCAAAGGCTTGATTTCCAACAAGCCAGCTGTGCAACCCAACCCACACCTGCTATCCACAGGGGTCTCTTTAGAAAAAAAAAAAAAAACAAACCCAAACCATATTCTTCTTTCTTTTGTCTAACAGTTTGTTTGTTTGTTTGTTTAATTCATCTTCCAAAGGCTCTGGACAAATTTGGCTTGATGACGTGAATTGCAGTGGGAATGAACGTTCAATTTTCGACTGTCAAAAGCCAAATTGGGGTGTGAACAACTGCTCGCACAACGAGGACGCTGGGCTGGAGTGCATTTGATGGGACAGAGATGCTGCCCTGGGAGCCACTACCTGCCTCTGCTCTCTATGGGGCTTTTCTTCATAACGCGAACCCAATCTTGTCAGGCTGTGCTTATGGTCTCTTTACCAGGTCATAGTAATATTGACAGAGAAAGTTGAATTTTCCATAAATCGATAATGGTTTAAAGACTCATAGGTAACCTGAGACATCCCAGCTGTCACAAAACAGCCAGAGCTCCGGCATGTGAGCCAGTTCACAGCTTTTCCAGTTACCTGACAGCAGCTCATCTGCAGTAGCTCACACGTGTGCGACCTTTGAGTCCACAGAGGAGGAGAGATGGTCCACCTCAGCTTAGTGCAGAAAGAGAGAACAGGATCAGTGTGCAGAAACAGGCAGTTACTGCAGCTTGAGCTGGCTAGTCCATCTTTGTCACAGTACAGTTGTGAATCTAAGCCTAAAATCCCCAGTGAAGTGCACTCATCCAAGAAAGCAGATGCTCAGAAATCATCAGATGATCTTTCTGGCATGCAAATATAAATGTTCTCCAGAAACTATGCTGATCACAGGTTAAAAAGCAAAAATAAGTGCCTGGGATCTAAATGCCATACTATCCTGGTTTAGCACAGACCTTGTTTTTGACCTTGGCCAAGTTCCCTGCCTTCTCTGTCACTGTTTCCTAACCTGTCCCCTGAAGCAAGCCCCCTTACCTTATCTGGTGCATAAAGCTAAGCATTTTATACCTTTAGAAATTAGATGCTTCAGTAAAGCAAAAGAAGGATGAATAAAAGTGATAATGAGAAAGTATCAGCTAATTAAACTTCCAGAGTGAAAATATTGACCCTAAACTGAGGGCTTCTACCTTAACTGAAAGTGTTATATGTGTCTGAGATAACAGCTGAAGGGCTTCTCTTTCTTAAAGACTTTCTTCTTGATTCTTACCCTTTTCCACCAGCACAGGGCATTTGTCAGGTGACAAGCAGCCTGTACATATGTAGCAGGGCACTTCGCAACAACCTCCTTGTGGACATTTGATTTAAAATGTCAGAAATATGTGTAAGCGACTCCACATCTCCACGTTAATGTTAGCCATGATAGCATTTCC